GTAAAGAACGGGCGAAAGGCGCACGCGCTCCCCGTTTTGCGGCCCCGTCAGCACGCTCGTTACCTGCGATACCCACATAACTCAGTATCCAACATAAGACGACAGTTTTACCAGCAAGATCCAGCGCTGTCAGGCGAACTAAAATATCCTGTATAATGGGACAAGGTGGGTTAAAGGTTGTCAGAGCCAACAGGCTGCTCAAGAATCGGATAAGACCACGTGTGAGTTGCTCTCACCAACTTCGATGAAGCATGGGGCTTTACTGATTGCAACGAGCTCGGACGTGTAAACTGAGGCGTGTTTCGGTAAGAAAAGGACCGGGTGGCTTGGTCATTCACAAATACAGCACCAACGCCTACCTCCGTCTTGGCCATCAGTATATGTGGCTTGAAAACCTATGTACGACCCGATGTGCTCCAGAGCCTTCGATCTCAGGTGCATGGGATCGCTTTGTTTGCTGGTGCATGAAAGGGATACATCCACTTTTGGTGAGATAAGCTCCCATGGAGACACTAATACGGGACGCGACCTTTGCTCACCACGCAAAGTTATGTCGCTTCCCCGGAACAGCTTCTTCATATGGACACCAAATGGAGTAGCGGATGGCCTCCCGCTACTTTGGAACTTGCTTTCCACATCACGTGAAAAGATTGCTCGGTGAGTCGGATGGTTGGGAAATTGAGCCAGCTTGCAAAAGTACCGCATGCCAAGCATTTCCTTTCTCAGTGCCAACGCCGGTTCATTAACTCCCACTGTAAGGCTAGCAACTGGCGACGTCCTGAATGCCCCCGTCACAATGCGTAATGCGGTATGGTGCGCGGTGTCTAATAAACGTTTGAAGGAGCTCGGCGCGCGGTCATAAATAAAACAGCCATAGTCAAGTTTCGAACGTATAGGTGAGCGGTATGGCAGTAACAGTGTTCTTCTGTCCGCTCCATAAGATGTTCGAGACACATACTTCAGTATCTTCAATGCTTTAAGCAGTTGTCACGTAGGGTTTTTCAAATGTGACCCATACGATAAACGGCTATCAAATTGCAGACCCAAGAAGCGGGCACTGGATTCGTTCGGGATGGTCTGGCCGTATAGCCTTAAAGCCATAGCGGGGCATTGACGACGTCTGAAAAGTGCATAGCGGCTGTTTTCTAGGTCGAGAAACGTAGTCCGTTTATAACACTCCATCCTTCCAGGCTGATCACAGCCCAATGCAAGCGACGCTCCAAAGAGGCAAAATTTGACGAGGCATACCAGATGGCGACGTCATCCACGAAGAGAGAGCGGCTGACCGACTTTGGAAGGGAGCCACCAATATCGTTAATCATCACCGCGACAAAGCGACGCTCAGAACACTGCCCTGGGGCACGCCATTATCTTGTTGGTACCAATCCGAGAACTGTGAGCCAACACGAACTCTGAAAGAACGATCGGTCATAAAGTTCGCTAGGAACGTGCCCATGGCTCCTCGAATGCCATAATGAAAGAGCTTTTTCAGGATGCCGTAACGCCACGTCGTATCATAGGCTTTTTCAACATAAAAAACACAGCGCCATCATGTCGTTTTTCCCTAGAACTGGTGCGAATGTTTGTGTCGAGAGCTATAACATGGTCAATGGTACTGCGATTTTTCCTGAATCCACATTGAGCAGCCGTAAAAACGTTGTACCGCTCCAAAAACCAAGACAAACGCACATTCACCATACGTTCCATCTACTTACAAACGCATGATGTCAGTGAGATAGGGCGATAGTCGGCAGGGTCAGCCCCACTCTTACCAGGCTTGAGCATAGGGACAATATGTGACACACGCCACGACTCCGGAAAACCTCCATTCTCCCAGAGATTGTTGTACGTTGCTAAGAGGGCCTCAACTCCTAAAGTGGGGAGTTGCTTAAGCATGGCGTTGTGAACTAGATCCGGACCCTCTGCCACGTTGCGCAGCGATCCGATCGTGGAAATTAGTGCGGCCATTGTAAAAGGTTGGTTACACGACATCTGCTCCGTCGTGCTGAAGTCGACAGGGGATGCCTCGCAGGGAATCCGGTGACGCATAAACTGTGGGACGGCATTGCCGTTACCGCACCGTTCGGAGAATGCGCGAGCGATTTCATTTGCTACGTCAGCTGGGTGTATAATATCACGTCCATTGATACGGAGCACAGGGTGTGGTACAGACAAGTGCTGTCCCGCAATGCGTTTGATCCGTGGCCATACATTGGATGCAGGCGTTTGGCAGTTTATTTGGCCGATGTACGATCGCCCCGATGCCCGCTTAGCCTCTAGAATGGTGCGTCTAGCAGTCGCTCGTGCCCGTCCAAATGCAATAAGATTATCAGTCGTGCTCCGACGGTCAAACTTTCTAAGGGTCCTCTTACGCGCATAGATGGCGTCGCGGCACTGGTCCGTCCACCACGGAGCAGGGGGACGACGTGGGGCGCCGGATGTACGTGGTATGCTTTCTTGTGCCGATCGTAAGATTGTGGAGGTGAGTTTCTCTATCGACGCAGGCGCATCCACCGAACCGGAGGCCAACCTGGTTTCCACCCGTGCCTGACATTGATCCCGGTCAGCCTTTCTAAGATTCCACCGTTGTGGCCTGGAACCGAGAGCTGCTCCGTTCTGGTGACGCAACCAGATGGGGTAGTGATCACTACCAAAGGAGTCGTTGTCAACCGACCATGTCAGGTGTGCCGCCAGTTGGGGGCTGGCAAAACTCAAGTCCAGCGCCGATGCTGACCTGACGGCAGCGTCATGTGGGTTCGGGTCTCGGTGTTTAAAATGTAGAGATTCATCATGTAAAAAAGTTTCGCAATGCCTGCCGCGAGTGTTGGTCTGGGCGCAACCCCAAGATGTGTTGTGAGCATTGAAGTCACCCGTGAAAAGAAGACGCGGGGAAGCTCGGCCACCAGTAGCCAGTCTCTCAAAACAGAAATTCGTAGATTTTTGGGCGTAAATCGTATATTTTTGCGCGTACAATCGTAAAATCCAGTTTCTCAAAGCAAAAATGTATAACTAACAACTACAATCTACGACACTGAAAAAATACACAGAAAATGTATAATCTACGACACAAACATACGCAAACAATCTTGCATGAGTTTTTCAAAGCCAAGAACAAATGTATGACAGAGCTTAATTTTGATAATAGCTTAATAGTGAGTGTTCCAGTCTTTCAGACAAGAAGCCCTGGGTAGGGCATGCCAAGACCAAAAGATAAAGCAAAACTGCCTAGTCAAGGAGCTTCCTTTGCAAGAACATCAAAATATATCATGTGTAAGCAGTGCGCCCAGGGTTGCGTCCACTGAGACGCCGCTACAGCCAGCTCACGGATCGTCAGCGCCCTGGCACGCCTCATTGGTGCGGGTGCGTTCGGGGTAGGTGCGGCGAAACCGGCTGCCATCTACATCGGCCACCGTCCCGGCATCGGGCGGCCGTTGGTCTCGGGCAGGAGCAGGCCGGCGAGCGAGGCCGCCCAGCAGGGCGAGGCCGGCGAACACGGCCGAGGCGCGCTCTCGTGCAGCTCACTCACAGTCCACCACGAACGGCGCGAGGGCGGCGCCCGCGCGCTCCGCCAGCTGGCGCAGACCGCACGCCAGCGAGCGGACCTCGGTGGGCATCAGTCGGCACGAACACCATTATCGTGTTAAAGGCGGAGGAGACGCCGATCTTGGGCGACCACGCCGAGTACCAGCCAGAGCGTGGTGTCCTTCTGCACGAAGGTGAGTAACATGGGGCGGCTGCACCGAGAGGAGGAGGATCAGCGAGCGTCGCGTCCCAGCCGATCCAGCAGGGGAAACACTAAGCTGGAGGGAATGTCGGCGATGAACCGGGAAAAACACCGCCGCCAGATGCGGGCTCGCCGCCAGTTTGCGGTCGGTGAACGAGATACCGAAGTAGGAGCCGGCGATGATGAAGCCGAGAAAGACGGCGGCGATGAGTGTTCGGCGGCGCATGTGCGGCGTCCGGACAGCTGCAGCATCATTGCAGCGGACTGTAGCCGCCGGCGGTTTCATAGTGGTCTGGCGGGACAGCATGTTGTTCCGCGCCTCTGCCAATCAGCTGCAGACTCCTCCTCTGGCAGCACCCGGCGCCGTTCCAGCGCGCGCCCCGGCGCAGCACGGCACACGCCTCCGGGAACCGGTCCTGCAGCACCAGCCAGCGGGGCGACTCGGCATCAGCCAGAAGTTGAACCAGGAAGATAAGACAGGCACGCGTACGCAGCTGGAAGTAGCCATCTCGTGCGGATTAGGTACGAGCCGAGCGCGACGAGACAGGTGCCAAAGGCGAATGGCATGAGTGAGACGAGACCGATCGCAGCGCGTCGCTCGCTGCTGCACAGCTCCATCATCAGCACGTACTGGCTGCTGATCATGGCCGACATGGCGACACCCGTCAGAAAGCGTACGGCCGCGAAGCTGGCGTAGTCGGTGACGAGCGCGACGGTGAACGCGCAGGCGATCAGCAGCAGCATGGCCGGCAGGAAGACGGGCCGCCGGCCGAAGCGATCGGCCAGCTGGCCGCTCACCACCGAGCCGAACAGGCCGCCGATCATCAGCCACGACTGCAGCAGCGAGAGCAGCGGCTTGCGGCCGCACACCAGCGTCCACTCGGTCACCACCGTCGATACGTACACGGAAGGATCGAACGCCCAGCGCTGACAGGCGGCGGTCGAATTGGCCGCGTGGCAGCGCGCGCGTATCGGACGGCAGCGAGGCGAAGGTGGCGTTGGCGGCGAAGCCGTCGGAGCATTTAAACTTGGGCGTGGCACCGACGAACATCATGGACATGGAGAAGACGGGGAAGAGCAGCCACATGACGGACATGTACCCGATGAGCAGCGTTTGCCAGCGGCCGGTGCCGCAGCATCGCTCCAGCACGTCCTCGAAGAGCACCTCCGCCTTCTGCTCGGACTTCTCCTCGGCCTTGCCGCCATCTGCCGTCCCCACCATCGCACAGCTTACTTGGTCACGAGCATTCCCCAGCGGTGTCCGCGTGCGTCGGGCTCAGCGACGCGTCACGCTCCTCTCGGCGCACTCCGTGATCCTGGCCCACGCACACGGCAGGCTCACGGAGGCTCCGCGCTCCGTCGCCGCACCGCCGGACAGGCGCGCGTGCTTCACGTCCGTCGTGTTACTGGTCGGCAGAACCTGCCTCTGCCACCCAACGAAGGCGAGTGGCTTTACAGCGCCGTTTGGCCGGCCGCCGCGACCCGTCCGA